TCAATAAAACAACAAGAAGGAAAAAATCTCAAATCAATTGATATATTTAATAAGACATTGCCAATTTTAGAAACTGGTAGAATTGCTGTTAAAAAAAGAAGTTATTTAGAGGAAATGGAAGAACAACAAAGAGAAGAGGAAAGGAGAAAAAGAAGATTAAGAGGTAGATATATATTTTATTAATTATTGATTATTTATTTATCCAATCACTAATAATAATAAATCATTCATCTAATAATTAATTTTATACATATGTATATATAATTTTTACTAATTAACTAATTATATGACAAAAAAAAATCAAGAAAAAATACCCAGGAAAAATTTGGATTCAATATTACATGATGATACACTTAATATAAAACTTGAACCGACAGATCCTAATTATAGGTTTCAAAAAGCCATCAATAGAAAGATGAAAAAACTAGAAACATTACTTTATAGTGCTGATATTGATATGAGACTTGTACCTGATCCTAGATATGAAATAGTTAGAGAATTTGTAGAAACAGAATATGAAAAAAAATATGAAAATTTTCGAAGAACAGTCCTACCACCTTTACCAAGTTCTGCTTATAATAATAATCATTATGATGTTGGTGAACAAATAGAATTTTGATTAATCTTTTCTATGTGCTTGTTGGTATTTTTCATAATCTGTTTAATATAATATTATTATAAAAAAATTTCAGGATTGAATATTTATTTCCTTATTTCATAATGATAATAATTAACTTTCAATTCCGAAATAACCAATTCACCTTTCTAATAAATTTGTAATTAAATATTTTGCCGGCCCAATTTTAAACTGAATTTAAATAAAACTGTAAAATCGGATTTAAATAAAACCACAAACCAGGACCTTGGTCTAAAAAACTGAATAATCCAATTGAAAACAGTTATTTATATTACATACAAAACTCATGTCGGAGTTTAAATCACCAAGCTTGAGCACAAATTTGGCATTCAATTGAAAAATAATGAAACAAAATAATTTAATTTAGAACTTGAATTAGGTAGATTTAAATCAAGAAATTTAATTTATACATTTTATTGTTTTTATATACTTTAGTACATTAGATCATCATTATTTATTTATTAAGATTTAAATAATCAAAGTTTTTATTTTTGAAATCGTAGAGATCTGCAATTTTAGATCACGTGAATTTGTTATAGAGAGTGTTGATTTATATTGCGAGTGTCAATCTGAGTTACCTAGTTATTAGGCAAGTTTTAATATCAACACATGTCTGATTTTCCTAGAACCTCCAATTTATAGTCGATTTGTTATCTTACAACCCTAAGTCTGGATAGCTTCCCTATGGCACATGTCTAGTTTTCCAAATTTATAACCAAAAACTCTTTTGTCATACAACCCTAAGTCTGGACAAAGATCCTTTTCTATTGGTGTAGCTGGTATATTCCAAAGGCATCCTCTTGAGGTATGACTTAATAATTAAAATCCTGAATTTTCCCTGCAATCAGCAAAGGCTTCTCTCTACCAGTTTATTTTATCTATTATTCCGATAGTATTATTAAAAAGAATTTTTGTATAAAGTTACAAGGTTTTTAACAAAATTCCCTTTTTTAACTCATTTATTTTTTGAAATCTTGGACCCAGTGACCCAGCTTTTAGAATATTGTTGAGTAAATGTGGCAAATAAACAGTATAAGGTGTTAACAGTTAGTTTTTGTGTTTTATCCAAAAAAATTAAAAATATATTTTAAAAAACAAATTCCTAGTGCATAACTTTCTTTGATTTTAAAAATAACACACTTTGAACAATTTGACTGATTATTAGTGATTATTGAGTGATTACAAAAGAAAAAATTGAATAGCATTTATTTCAATTATTATAATTTAAAATTTTTTTTTGTTTACATATTATGGAAGCATCACATAAACTCATTTGCAACATATATGAATTGATCAATGAGGGGGTCAAATTTTTCCAGAATCGATTCCATATTGAGTAAAATACCTGACTGTAATTTGGACTATGGTGCCGATCATCTAAACACATCAATGCTGCGCCAAATGGTAAAATTTTTATACGAAAATCATTCCTTTTATGGAACCAGTTTTTAACTCAAATCTATTTCTTTTTTTTGTTAAAATGCCTAAACAGAATAAAAGAAATCAGCATTTATAAAAGGCTTGTGAAACTAAAAAAATATTAAACCCATTATAGATGAATATATTGATAAGGAGGTGTTTGAAAATGAATTCAGATTGACACAAACATTTTGAATGAATTAGATGTAAATGAACCTGGATTAGAAATCAAAGAGTTGATCTGTCAATACATTGAATCTGATGATGACTGGAGAGATTTATCTTAACTACAGAATTAGAATCTTGGGAAGGTTTACAACAAACTGTGTCACTGGCTCTTAATCCTATTTCTCTCTGTAAAATTCATAAATTTGCAAGAAGATGTTATAGGTTATGAGTGCCTATAAGATGGGACTTTCTGGTAAAGCTGCTATTTTTGCAGTTAAAAAGTATCACTTCATAGAAGAGTTCCCGAATCTGTTTTAGTGGAATTTCACAAGTCATGACTATCACGTGACACTTCTTTATATCATGAAAATATTCTTTAAATAGAGTAATGATCAGCAGGGTTGGCATTTTTAGGTGTCCAATTAAATTTTATTTGGATTTGTCCTGTCCAATTGTCCAAATGCCGCAGTAACTATTAGTCCAAATTACCTAATACAGTAAATTGGACACAAATTGGACAATCGGACAAGGAGTACGTATTTGGACAGATTTGCCAACACTAATGATCAGTGATGAAATTTTTTTTTAATAGTAAAAATGACAAACTTTAAACCATCATAACTCTTTTCATTTTAAAAAAACTCTCTATTACATCTTTCCTTATGTCTCATAGAATAAAACTATGGAGAGTTTATTTTTTAATCTTAGATGGTCATTGAGCTTATACATTTTAAAGTTTACCCAAAATTTTTGATGTCTTTAGATGATCGGCACCATATGATCCTGAATTATTAATAGGGATGGGACGGTTTATGTCACGTCCGGCGACGAATAATATTTTTATAATTGATCCATGACGATTAATAAGCATAGTGGAAATTTGAAATGTTACACGAAATTTTTATATTGTGCAACGTAGCTTTACAATACATGGCAAACATTCTGGCAATAAAAAGTAAGTGATAAACTGGATTTGAATTGGATCTGAACTTGATCTCCAATTTAAAGAGATAACAACTATATACTGGTGAAGTTTCAGGAGCAATGAGTTCTGTATGAAATTTCGTGTAACAACAAACTTCCACTATGCTCGATTAATATACTAAATTACAGGTGACATTTATATTTCCAAAACAAGACAAGTTAATTGTCACTTATAATTTAGTATATTAATCGTCACGGATCAATTATAAAATATTATTCGTCGCCGGACGTGACATAAACCGTCCACATCCCTAATTATTAATAATACTTTTTTAGAAATGATGATAATAATACAGATAATTAATAAGATTATTTTTTTCTATATATGATGTGATTAATATTTATTTGAAAAATAAAAAATTTGTGTTAATTATTTTCATACAGCATATTGGCATAATGTCACAACATATGGCATGCAGCATTTATGTTTGCATATGGCACATGGCATAATGTACAGCATATGGCAGTTATGTTTGCATACAAAATACAGCATACAGCCATTTGGCATTTCACTGCAAGGGTTACACCTTTTCATGTCATATAGGTGTTGTAACTATGGTTGCTCACCAAAACTCCTCTGGAAATCAATCAGCAGAATTTCAGCAGGTAACACACTAACTGTTTGTTAGAGTTTCAGCAGAGTTTCACATTTAGGGATTTCAACAATTAGCAGAGTTTTAGCAGGTTACACATTAATTGTTTATTGAAGTTTTGGCAGTGATTAAGAGGTTTTGGCAAGCAACCTTACTTTCACCATTACCTACTAAACTAGGCCCTAAAAGGCATTAAGTTTTAACACCTGAAATTCAAACATAGATCAAAGCAAATGGTTATTACCCATTGTTAATAATCTAACAGAAACCACCTTGTGCAATTACATATTCTATATCCTCAGCCCTATAAAAAATTTGGTATGAAAATGTATGGAAAACTGTACATTACTGCTAATTTATTTATTAAAAAATTTCCCCTTGTTGATCCTCTCAAATTAATGACACACTATTTTTGGTGTCACAATACTATAAAATCACATGACCCAAACGGTCAGCAAAGTAATCAATAGCTAAACCCACTAGGATAACTATAAAAGAAAACAAATAATTCATTGTAAAATATGTTGTATGTTTGCTATTATTAATTTAACATATGTTTTTTCTTTTTATTTATTAATAATTAGCATAACAAATTGTGACGCAGGTATAATCTGTGATGCAAGACATATAGTTGGTGACGTGAAGTATATTCTTACTATATATGTTATCAAAATTATGAATTGTATCACGCATAATTAAAAATTTCATGAATTATGCATTGCGTCATAATATTTCCCATTCCAAAGTTCAGTTGTTGCCACCAGTCAAGGCTCTGATCCTACCAGTAATAAAGGAAGACTTTAATTACAATCCAGCAAGAATGTGTATTTTATTCCAGTAATAA